CCTTCGACTCGCTGGAGGGTCTGGGCAAAGGCAAAGCACAGACTTGAACCCACAAGCCCTGACGCTCCCAGAGAACTCGCTGTCTCGGAGCAAGGCGCACGGGGGTGGGGGAGCCTGCTCGGCCAGCTCAGAGAGCCTGCTCGCCCCGCCCGTCCCCTGGGCCTCTTTGCCGCTGCAACTTAGTCTGTAATGTCCGTGGGGTCTTTGTTTGCACATTCTGCCCTCAGGGATCAGATGGGAAGCACCTGGCCCTCTCCGCGCGTTTCAGCTGGGAATCGTGGTGGTGTGCGTCCAGCACAGACTTGAACTCACGAGCCTTGCCGCTCCCAGAGTACTCGCTGTCTTGGCGCAAGGCGTGTGGGGCTCATTTCGTGTTCTGATTGGACCCTAATTGATTTGCAGTTTTGAGGCAGCAATAAAGCTTTGGGTATAACCATGAATGTGGTGGAAGTAGGAAGAGGAGATGATTGCTGGCAATGGAGAAGTTAACAAGCAGAGAAATGAAGGAGTTGGAAGGATCATCCACATCACAGCTGAAGTCACAAAAGTAAGAGAACAGAGAGGGACAATTTTCTGGGAGTTTATTAGCTCAGTGCCTTTACCACCTTACACTCATAACCACCAGGTACTTCCATGAATGATCCTAGGACTTGTAATAGAATAACCAGTTTCAATCTCAATTCCAAATATTCTGTGTAAAAAAGTTGTCACTGTTAAGTAGTGTAAAGAATCCCAGTGTCTGAGTCAGAAAATCAAGTGCTAACCAGGACTTTATCACACCCATTCTAGCCTTATGAACTGAGCAGTACAATGTCTTTCTCCATACCCAGGCGCAGCACTAGAGTTTCTTCCTCTATGAAACAGAATGCTCATTTCTTTTCGCTTGCCTCACAGAACGACTGCAAAAACACATCGTACACATTATATACACAGACACAGACACACACACATATACAAGCATGCTAGAAATGAAGCTTTTCTATTTCCTGAACTTCCAAGGTATGTAAGTTCTACTGGGGAAAAAAATACATGTATATACAAGGAAAACATTTCTTTTGTGCCTATCCCTGCTCTGATCCAAGTCTCCCTTTGTTTTTCTGTGGCCCATTGCTACATTATGCTACACAACTCCCTGATAATTCTTTCTGAAACACATCTTAAACCAGTGAGTTAACCTAGCATGGTTGCCTGTTGCACATTTAGGAGTCTCCATGATCCAGCCTCGGTTAGACTAGCAGTCATACCTCTTCCTCACACGGCAATCTCCTGTCCCTAAAACTCAATGATCTATAAACTTGCTACTCCTGATTAAAATGACTGAATAAACTTATGCTTCTGTCTGGAATGCTTTCCTTTCCCATCTCTGCTTGGTAAAATAACATATTTCCTTCAAGGCTCAACCCAAACACATCTTGGATCATATAGATTTTTTTCTTTCATTCACAGAATAGGAGTGGCCTTTTCCTCTACAGCGGTTCCTCTGCACTTTGCTTGTGCTTCTCTGGAAGGCTCTTATCATAAATGGCATTATTCTCGGTTATATTATCTATAAACATATCACATCTCCTTCACTAGCTGGGAACACCTCTTTAGACATGACTGTATCTTACTCAACTACATCTTCTAAGCACTCAGCAGAAAGCCCAGAATATAGTAGGTATCTAGAGAATATATGTTAAATAAATTGCTAATGTCATGAAAAGGGTTAAGGTGCAAGTATGGTTCACAACGGGGACAAATTTGAATTATGTGTGGAAACTACACAGAGTATTTTAGCATGCGAACTCATGGTTGATAATGTGGAGGGACAGAGATATGATTGGTAAAGGAGATATAGTACATGCTATTGTACCACATGCACACAGGAAGAACTTTCTCAGGGCTTGTCCTCTCTGTAGCTTGGCCCATGCTGGTTCTCCTCCATTCACTGGACACATATCCTCCTTCCCTCTACCCCAGTTCCTACTTTCCTACCTTAGATGTACGTCAGTCTCCAGTCCATAGGCTCCTTCTTCAACAGACTTCTCAAAGGCCATCATGGTATTCTCTGGTCCCGCCTGTGGAAGAAAAGATCAGACCCCTACGCCTCAGAGTCTCTCCTCCCAGTATCACTTTTATAATAAAGATGGAATCGAGGAATGAAAGGGCTTTGGGAAGAGGGCTTGGCTCCTTTAGTTCTCTTTTTAAAGAGGTTACCTGTATTCTCCTCTGTCTGATCTGACACTGGGCATGGTAGAGAGACATAGACTGACAGTAAGGTGAACGTAGGTTTAAGTTCAACCCATATAATTCACTCCTTTTTCTTGTCCTCTCAAGACAAGCCCATTTTCTTTCCAGAGGCTCCTGTGTTACTGAAGTTTCTTTCTCTCGCCCACATGCCTGCCCCACACATACCTGTACTTCTTCACATTCCTCACGCCAGACTTACCATGGGTGAGCCTCTATGTGCAAAAAAGACTGGCTTAGGCCCCAACTCCTCCTTCTCCTGAATGCAGGGAGAGTAAATCCCCAGTGGCATCGCATAGAGACATATGAGAATAAGAATAAAAGGCAATCCAATAGCCAACTGTAGAGCTAAAAAATGTTGGAAGGAGAAGAAAGTAGAAGAAAAGGAAAAGAGGGATAGAAAATCATATCACGCAACTACCTTAAATCAGTAGTCTGAGTAAACATCCTGTCCACAGGTTTCTCTGACTGCAGGTTGGCCGATTTGCTTTCTCTTTCTGTCACACCCCGCCTTACTTTCAGGGACTTGGATATACATATATAGGACTGTCCAAATGTAAGGCATTACTATTAAGGTAACATTACTAGAACTGAAAAATGATGGAGAACAGAATAGTAGAGAGAATGGGCAGGGAAGAAAAGAGAGGGAATATTAAAGAGTCACTCCCCAGGAGGAGGGTGGGTAGTTCTGAGAAAACTTTCTGATCTCCAAGCCTGTAAAGATCATGTTAAAATGCCTCTATATCCAGGTCAGTGCAGTACAGAGGAAAGGGCACTAAATGACAGAAATTTGGGTTGAAAGCCAAGCTTTATCATTCCCTGATTGTGTGACTAAGGGCATTAACCTTAACCACCCTGGTCCTCACTCTGTTCTACAAAATAGGGCTGCCTTTCTGCAACATCAGCCTTATAGACTTGTTATAACAGCATTGATTCATAATAGTTACTCAGCAAATATTAGTTATTTGCTTCCCTTTTTCCCTCCCTCCCCCATCTCTCCCTCCCTCTCACTGAACACGTGTGGACACACATATTCATATACAGAACCTGTCTCTAATCCCTGCTATCAAAGTCATTTCCCAACACTTACTATTTTAGACTTCTGAGGATTTTACCCATTTGAACATTTTTAAGTTCCCACCTATGATTCCATGGTTTTCAAATCTAGGTCCCCAGCTCTAACCTCTTAATCTTGTGAATATATTATATTTCTTGAGACTTTCTTTCTGGTAATATGATGTCCTGGATCTTCTTATTCTAACTAAAATTTAGAAAGTGGAAAAAGAAGAGTTTGTTATTGTCTTCTTTCGGTTCTTTCCCCAGAAATAGTTCCTAAAGTTTACCCTCCACATAGAAGCACATATATACAAAAATACAATGGCACCATATACAGCCAGCCTTTCCCTTGCCTGTAACCTCCCACAAGTCATAAAGCAAACACCCCTTATTAAACAAATAGCAAAAAAGGGAAGACGTGGAACAAAAATCCTACTGGTTTCTCAGTCAGTAAGGATGTAGGGAGATAATTCCATTCTCAAACCAGTTTAGTGTACAGATTACATTCTCTTTTGTTTCCATTGCAGTAAAAAAATAACAGAGAGAGATATTTCTACTTCTGCTGTAAGTTCCTAAGTATTGCAGGGCCTCACAGAGGATTGCTTTGACTTACATATATGTAATCAGTAAACTCTGCAGAGTGTTAGTTGAATTAGTAATATTTAAATGTAAACTGAAAGAACTGTGCTTGTGTCAGCATGATGACCAAGTCAAATAAAAGTAGGTTCTATACCTCCATATGGCTCTAGATAGACAATGTATGAGAACATAAAGAAAAATCTTATTTTTCTAGAAGAAGAACTCTTGAAGAAGGGCCTTTTTGGTCATGGAAATATCAAGACTCTACACGGAGTAGTGAGAACTAAAGGAACGTATCTAACAAGCTGAAAGAATTTTAAAGAGACAGGGCTGGGAATGAAGCTCAGCACTCAAAAGCTTGCCTAGAAAGTATGAGGTTCAATCCCCAATACAAGAAGAAGAAGAAGAAGAAGAAGAAGAAGAAGAAGAAGAAGAAGAAGAAGAAGAAGAAGAAGAAGAAGAAGACAGGAGACGGGGAGGGGAGGGGAAGGGAGGGAGGAAGAGGGGAAGGAGAAGAAGAAGGAGAGGAGGGAGATGGGGAGGGGAAGAGGAGAAGGAGAAGGAAGACAGGGAGGGGGAGCGGGAGGAAGAAAGGGAGGAGAAGGAGAAGAAGAGGGAGAGGGAGGAGAAGGAGGAGGACAGGGAGAGACAGAGAGAGAAGGAGAAAGGAAAGAAGAAGAGGAAGAAGGAGAAGAAGAAGAAAAGTAAAACCTTGTATCAAAAACAAAACAAAGCCAGGCATGGTGGCACACACCTAATCCCAGCACTCAAAAGGTTGAGGCAGGAGGATCATTGTGAGTTTGAGATCAGTCTGGGCTACAAAGTGAGCTCAAGGCTGGCCTGAACTGTACAGCAAGACCCTGTCTCAAAAAACATCACTCAGATGTGCTTATGCACACCTGTAATCCCAGTGATCTGAGATGGAGGCAGGAAGATTGTGGCAGGTTCGAGGCTAGCCCAGCTTACATAGTCAGGTCAAGGCCAGCCTGAACAGCATAGTGAGACCTTGTCTCAAAAATAAATAAATAAATAAATAAATAAATAAATAAAGTTGACTAGCAACCAAATTTCTGCTTTTCTGAGTGGAAAATGCAAGTTAAAATCAGGCAAGGCTCTACCCAACAAAACATACCTTCTCTTTCCAAATATGCCACGTAGATGGTCAGCGGCCAGGAAATGATAACCATCAGAATTATGCAGCTCAGGTGCACATAAGGCGCAAAGATCTGGGACAAAGTCAAAAGTCAGGCTGGATATATCAGGACAGATAGTGCCAAGAGCTACAGAATGATGCTTACCTTCAGTGACAGCCCAACTACCAGCCACCTTTCATTCCAGAATTTGAATAAAACCACCATTAATAAAATGTGCAGCAGGATGGCTACCAAAATCAGGATCTGGGGAAACAGAAAAGATCTGATTTCCAGGAAGAAGGTTTGAATCAAAACTGTCCTTGGGGTTTGTATGTGTATCTTCTCAATATCAGGGACCTCATCTCCTCATCCTTTTCACCTAACCATCCTGCAAATCCCCCATCACTTGCTTGAGCGGTGGGCCCGGTCACTTGCTTTCTTTGCTCCTCAGCCTATGATATTAACACATCTGGGGAAATTACACAATTATGTGTTTTGGTGTCATGACCAATCTCTCATTTCCAGCCTCAACCAGGCCCTCAGCACGGCTTGGTTATTTTTCACTCAGTTTCAACAACAGCCAGTACCAATCTTTGCCTCTTCTTTAAACTGCAATCATATACTCAATATAAATGATATTTTAAAATTGCCTTTTTTTGAGACAGGGTCTCACTAAGTTGCTATTCTCCTAGCTTACCTTCCCAAGTGCTGAGATTATAGATGTGTACTTGCCTTTTTGATGTATGTTTTCCCCAACAGACTAAAAGCTTCATGAAGTCAAGGATAACAGTTGAATTACTTATCAGTGTATCTTCAGTGCCTTATGGGATGTCTGACATACAGTAAATATCCATAAATATTTAAAACATCTGCTCTCCAGAACACTATATACTTCAGAGAAAGAGCAGTAAGACCACAAAACATTACTTTTTCAACTTCTTCTCCTATAATGTTCTTTGGAAAGTCCCAAAGGACACTGAAAAATACACTGGTGACCAAAGTGTTAGCATCCTTGCAAAGATCATAGGGACTATCTGTAGTGGACTGACAACTGGTGGTCAACTTATAACACCAGCTAAACTGAGTCAGTGTGATGCTGGGTGTGGGAAGCGCACCCGAGGATTGTTGCCAGCAGCATAAGAGGCAGAACTGGAGAAGAAGAAGAAGAGGTGCTGTTAAGGAGCTGTTGGGAGCTGCTGGTTCTCCTGAGGAGCTTGTCATGCTGGCTTTCCTGATGAACTAGGCTGTTATCATCTGAGGAGCTCAGGACCTTGTCACTGAGAATGACTTTGGTGCACTTTGGGGGAGCGCTGGTCCTCACTTTGAGTATCACTTCCTTGCTCCACAGGGGAAGATGGTGCACTGCTCAGACTCCTGGAGAAGCTTGTCATGTTGTCTTTCCTGATGGGAACTTGGCTGTCCTGATTATCAGATGAGCTCAGACCTCACTGTTGCGAGGATGGCTGTGATATTTTTCAGGGGAGCTCTGGTTTTTACTTTGAGCATTGCTTCCTCTCTCCAGTGCAGATCCTTCAGCCTGTTGGCATAGATCCTTCATCCCGCTGGCACAGACTTTCTAGCTTCCACCACTGACCCTTGGGCCTTCCCAGGGCAGATCCACGAAACAGACTTGCATGGGACATTGTCGTGGGCCCTTGGCCTCCTGTTGGACTTGTGGGGGCCATTGTGATGGGCTCTAGGTCTTTAGCTGAACTAATGTGGGAGATTGCCATGGGATCCAGGCCCTCAGACGGATTCTTTTGGTCTCAGTGTGTGGACAGATTTCCTGCACTCTCTTTGTATATGACTCTTTGGGTGACTGTTATAAAATAATCCTATAAATTATGTGTCCTGTACTGTTTCCCTGACTACAACACTGCCCTTTATGTTTGAATGAAAAAGAAATGCTGCAATTTAATTGGGCTTCCTGGTTTCAAAGGAGATGATGAGAGCCTGCTGTGACTCAGGCTCAGGTAACATATGCAGCGATGAGGGTGGGAATGATAATCAGAATGGTTCAATGCACAGGAATTCTCACTAGCGAATAATTGATCATGGTGCCCTCCACTACAAAATAAATGGTGTTATCAATAAGGCCTATTTGTTTACTTTTCAAGCTATATTCTTCTCCTAGAAGATCTCATGGCTTCAATTTCCATCTATTTTAAGTAACTCTTAAATTTATATTTTTAACTTGTACTTATCAATTTGTAACAAGAAATTTACTTGGAGAATTTGACATGTTTCTGGATTTGGGAAACACAAGTACGGTATCATAACCATGCCTGGAAAAGGCTATAAAAAAGCCAAAAGCAGCCAGGCATAGTGGTGCACATCTGTAGTCCCAGCACTCTGGGAAGCTGAGGTAGGAGGACCACAAGTCTGAGCCCAGCCTAGCAAAGCCTGTCTCAAAATAAATATTTAAAAGGCTGTGGATATAGCTCAGTGTGACAACGCAGTTCAATCCCCAGAACCCCATCCTCACCACACATACAAAACAAGAGGCTGTTCCTAGAGCTGCTCAAACCCATGGTAGAACAAAATAAGAAAGGCTGTGGTGGAAATATGTTATAGGGCCACAGATGACAGAGAAAAGTGGCTTGTTCTGTGGGTACCAGATAGGGACCCTATGAGGGAAATCATGCTGGTATCATTTTAAAGGAATTCAAACCATGAAAGCGTCAAAAAGTAGACCTCAAAGTAGGAACTTAAGGGGGGTCATAAGAAGATAAGCATTGATCCTATGAGGATAGTGGCAGTCAAGTATCTCAGCAGAAAGTCTCTGAACACATAGAAAAACATCGTAGGAGAAAGAGTCAACTGTGCATCCACCTGATGCTCATCTTGGGCCTTTGTGCGAGTGTTCTTGTCTCCCATCTCCTCTGATCCTGGGCACCGCTTGGCGGTGGGAGGGGTGAAAGGGTTGTCATGCCCTTCCCACCACTGCAGGCGTGGATCAGGCCCAAATAGGATAGAGAAAACATTTTGAGATAAATAAAGTTGGAGTTTGGATGACTATAAAGAACTAAAAAGATTTTAATGACTAAAACAAGAATTTTTGTGACTGAAAAGGACTAATTAGGTAAGGAGCTTGTCTAAGGCTTCAACGAATGGGAAGAACAAGGCTACAGGCTGAGTTTAGTATGAAGTAGTGAAGAGGGATAAAGTGCGGGTTCCCCGTGGATTCAGCAACTTCAGTAAATAGGTACAACTGTTAGAAGTTTAACTATTTCAGTATAAATTGTGTAAGCAGGTCTCTTCCCTCTAGGGGGACAATGAAAGGAAGGGTGATGGTATACGTAACACCGAGTGCCTAGGTGCACAGTCAGTCCTGGTCTAAGGTCTCCTAAGAGGATGCCCACGTCTTACCTTATGGCACGTGTGCAGGTATAGCTCAATCCTTTCCCGGAGCAACAAAATTCCAAGTATCTGTAAAAGCAAGCAAGAAAGAGGGGTTTATTTTGAAATTACCAAGTTGCTGTCCAAAGCACTGTTCTATAGCTCAAAATGCCTCTCATAGCCAGGTACAACTTTTACTTCCTCCTAAACCTATACTATCAGCCTATGGAAGCAAGCCAGCTTCAATAACACCTCCTAGCTGTAAAGTTTATCAGCACCACCAGGATTCATTATTGTTTCCTCTGGTATTTAATAATAATTACCACACTGGTGCTAATCATCCAGTGAGCGTGAAGACGGATACCAAACGCTGGAGGCTTCTGATGCTGGGATATTTATGGCAGGCTGAGTGCACAAGGGGCTCACATTTTTAACAAAATAATTCCATATACATGTTTCCATTTGTTCTTTACTCAGCCCTATTAAGTACCATTTTATAAACATTATGATCAGTTTCATTTGAGAAAGGAGGAGACCGAGAGAAGAGTTCTACAACTTGACCAGGATTGTAATATAACAAAGATGGAGCTGGAGAAGAACTGAGTTCTCCCTCCTTTTTCACAGCTGTTCTGGTTGCAATTATTCAGAAAGAGGTACAGTAGAACAGAAAGTCTGTGAAAATACAACTACTTTATTAGACACTAGAGCTCCCACTCACCTTACAAGCTAACAGTGACATTTTATGTTAATGGTGTGTGAAAGTGGTACAATTCAGCCCACAGTTTGGCCTAGAGCACATACTTGTGCATTTCCTGACTGACAAGAGGAGTTCCTAGCTGGTCTCTCTGCCTCTGGACACTTTCCAAACCATCACTTCCAGAATGACTGTCTCATACAGCAGCCTGGCTTATGCCAAGTGTCTCAGTCTTACTCTCCGGGCCTTGCAAAATTTGTGACAAGAAACGTTTCCCCATTATTCTTCATTACGCCCTACATGCTAAGAGCACTGACCTGTCCCTCTTAATGAGACATCTTGTTTGTTTCTGTCTCACTGCTACTTTCTTATGATGTATACCGGCGGCCCAGAAGTATTCTTCCCCATTCATACACCCTAACCCATCACCTCTTCAAAATCCTACTCTTCTAAGAAATCTTATTTAATCCTCTTTCTTCTCTGAACTCCTGCAGAACTTCGTTTAGACCTCCCTAGTGCCAAGTATAATATCCCATCTGTGTTCGTTATTTTTGCCTGTGGCTTAGTTGTCTGTAAGATTCAGTGAATGAACAGTTGCAATTGTATGTCTCATGTGTATCACTATAGAGTATTCTGTATGAAAACAGAAGCTACAGTAAAACTGTGTTTTACTGATTTCCATATACTTCATATTTGTCACAGTGTATTTATATAATAAAAAATTTTGTTTAAAGAAAAAATTAATGTGAATAGCAACAGACATGGAGATGGGTTGCTTTGTATCAGATATGAAATCAGCTGGGACACAGAATGGTAGAATCAGAAAGAAATCTGCTCTGTGTATAAATGGGCACAGAAAAACTATTAAATTATTGAAGTTATCCTCCCATTAAGCTCTTTCTTTCGACAGACTTTTCTCTTGCATAGTATAAATTTCTCAAGCTATACTACTTACCATGCGAGGCATGAGAAGTAGCGTCACATATTACCAAAAGACTTTTGCTAAGATATACCTTGCGCCTGGGCTAGTTGACTAACATGTGTACATTAGAATAGTTTTTATTTATAGGCCCAGAAAGACTGCTGATATGAGGCTGTGGATATTTAAAATGTCAACACTGAGTGAACCATGGGACAGATTATAAAACAGGGGAGTAGAGAAAGGGTGTTGTACTACCATTTCAAAAGAACAAGCCAGTCAGACACATCCCCTAATAATACAAACCTTTTCCCCTACTTCCTATACCTTGTGGATAAAATGCAAATAGTTGACATAACCCCTAATTCTGCTAAGACTACAGTGATCATAAATTCTGGGTGCTCCCAAAGCCAGTTAGATACTATTCCACAGATAAGAGTACCTCACAGGCTATTCAGGAAAGAGAAATAGGAAGCACTACTCACCAGCAGCAATAAAGTGTAGGCAGTCAGTATTATAAAGAAACTCAGCATTAGAATGGACCAGAAGAACCAGGATCCTGTTACTAGAAAAACAACCCTGAAAAAAATTTGTTTCAATTCTTAAAATACAGCAGAAATCAGCAGTAATATCTGCATCAAGCATGGGGAGAAGACCAGACTAGAAGAGGCATAGGAAATGGCAGGACGTAAGAAAAGCACTTTGTGAACACATCTGTGAAAGCTTTGGAGATATTTTCTTGAGTTTTAACTTTGTCCCGTAGGCAGCTGGGTCCATCAGTGTGCTCTCTATAAGTGGTAGGTTTTTTTTTAAATTGTTAAGAATATGTCTTCAAAAATTATTACCTGTTTAGAATACAGTCATCCCTTGCTATATTGTGGTTGACTTATTGTGGCTTCACTGTATCACAGGCTTAAAAAAAAGTATCTAATTCTGTATCATGGAGTTTGTGCTATATAGTGGGATTTTGCAGTAGATAGGTATTTATATAATATTTATGATTTCAATTATTTTTGCCTAACAAATTTAAACCAATATAAAAATGTTAATTCAAACATATTGAAAGAATATTAAATCAAAATAAAATACAGTATGTATTTCATCAGTGGATGAATACCATACTGTACACAGTGGAAGTGCAGTACACCACTACCACTTGCACAAGTTTGCCACCGTGAGATTGTAAGCGGCACAGTATTGGCTGACGGGATGGAAGATGACCATCACAGCACTGTGTTCTGTATCCTGGGTGCTGACTGGCTCAGTGATTGCAGCATCGGTCTGTTTGCTCTGCTGCACTCTGCCCGTACTTTCAGCATCTCTCCTTGTCCACTTCACATCGAGTACCCATATAGAATTTTATGTTGTTAAAATTACATAGGTTTGAGTGTAGGAAGTGTTTAAGAGCATTTGAAGTGTTTATAAGAGTGTGAGAAAGGTTAATAAGAGAGTGGGAAAGGTTTATAGGAGTGTGGGCTTTATAAAGCCTTAAAATATATATAAATAATAAAACAAATATAATGCCGCTACTTAGCGGATTTTCACCTGGAATATAACTCCTGCGGTAGGGGAGGGATCACTGTACAATAAAGACATTCTTTAATATCAAAAGAGAAAAGAATCACCCCATACATTTGCTGCCTTAACAAAACTAATAATTTTTATTTTGTCAGGTTCTTTATCTATATAATTGCAATAATAACTACACATTAATTGCTCTATTCTGTGTAAGAGATGAGAGCCCTTTAAACATAGTCCTGATTATTTTGTTCCTAAAATATTGTATGAGAGAAAACTGCTAACAATTTGTTAAGAGTAACGGGTTATTCTTGGTGTCAAAGAATTGAGGCTTTTCCTCTCAAGATAACAGAAATTATTTCCTGCCCTTGTAAGAGAAATGCAAATTAAAACAACACTGAGATATCAGCCTACTTCAGAAAGATTGGTGATCACCCAGAAATCAAATAATAGCAAATGCTGGTAGGGTTGGGAGTAGGGGATAGGGGCAGGGAAGGAAGAGGAACAAACTGGTACAACCTCTATGAAAATCAGGGCAGAGTGCCCAGAAAACTAAAAATAGAAATTCCATTCAACTGAGCTATTCCTTCTCTATGTATCTTTCCCAAAGAGCTAAAGACATCATATGAAGATAAGACAGGCATATGCGTGTTTATAGCAGCTCAATTCATAATAGCTAACTATTGGAAGTGGTCTCCATGACCATCAACAGATAAATTGATAAAGAAAGTGAATTTATATGCTGCAGAGTGCTACTCTGCCATGAGGAAGGGTAAACTTCAGTCATTTATAGAAAAATAGATGTATCTTGAGACCATAATGTTAAGTGAAATAAATCAAACACCCAAGCTTAAATATTGCATGGTTTCTCCCAAATGAGAAATAAAAATAAAGAACAAATAAAAGATAGATAATAGGAAATAGGGAGATAAATCTTTTGCAAAAGTGAAGGAGATCTAGAGACAGAGTGAGGACAGAGAGAAGAGAAACAGAATGAAAAAGGAATTAAGACATGTTATGCACATGGACCAACTCCCCACAAGGACAGTAATCACTATGTATGGCAAACATGCACTAATAAAAATAAAAGAAAAGTGCTGATTAGTAACCTTAATTACATCTGCAAAGTCTCTCTTGCCATCTAATATAACATCACCACTAGTGTGACATGAGAGGACAAAGTCACAGGGGCCAGAGTTCTGCTCATACACACACACACATCCCTTCTCCCATTCCTCTACCAATGAAGAAAACATGTTATGTGAACATAACTATCAATCTTAGATTAAAGGAATAAACATCACCTGGTCACGATAAAGGAAGTTTATGTCCTTTCTGGGGGAGTGAGTTGGTATGTTTTTAGTTGTATAAGAGATAATTTCATCATGTTAGACAGACAGAAAGGATGGTTAATAGAAGTGTGTATAGATACTGAGGTGACAGTTAAGAGAACCGAGGTGATGTACTAACTGAGTCAAGTTTAGCTAAACAGAAACTACATTTCTCAGAATTTTATCCCAGTATACAATTGAGATAAGGTTGGTCACAAAACATTTGCGTAAAGTAAATACTGGCGGTCTACCCCGGGCACTGTGGAGGTCTTCTGCAATGTCAGTATTTGGTAGTTCACTTAGTTGACGTGGGGCAACACTTAGGCCCACATTCTCATTGCTCCTGACAAACTTCCTTCAGTTTCTTCCAGTCCTAGGCCAGATAAGTATGCAAATCAGTGATGAAAGGCACCAGGTTCTCCTGCAGGTGACCCTATCATTAAGTTTGGAGGCAGTGATAAACACAAGTTCCAGTTTATTGTCGTAGTTTCCACGCTGTCCCCACTTGCTGCAATCTGTTCTTGTGGGCTGCAGTTTACTCTGATGTGTTTCAGTTTGTCCTTGACGCCTACATTTCACCTGCTGACTGACTGCTGGACTGTCACCCAGAACTTCCAGGGAGAAGCTCAGGCCAGTTAGCACTTTGATTTCAGCCTTAGGTAATCCTAAACAGGGTATACAACTGAGTATGCCCCACTTCTGACCTACAGAACTGTGGAATAACACATGCGTATTGTTTAAGTCTGCTAAATTTGTGGTAATTTGCTAATGCAGCAATGGCAAATTATCTGTGTAACTTCTTTGTTGCTTTAGGACCTGCTGGAGCTCACTTTTATACATACATCCTCTGTTGGATGATGGAATGATGCTATGGGGATTCTGCCTGCTACTGAATATATATGTTCACATAATGATACATTTCAGAAATAGAGAACTCATGATAATGTGGGTTTGGGCACACATGAGGTTCACTGAGAAGACAGACCCAAGCCAAGATTCCACTGATCGCCTTATATCCAAAAGCACCTAGTCTGACTGGTGAGTCACAACGGTGTTCTTAAACCTCCAGTTGTGTATCAGTTGTCAAGTGTCCAGCAATTTCCAAATTCTTCATCAATGCGTGGCCATGCTTGTAAGTGGTCAGAGGTTCCTTGGGGAGAAAACTAGGTGGAGGACTGAAAGCAAACACTTTTGCCATGTAGCTGGGTCTTTCTCCACAGTTTTTCCTTCATTAAGAGCCTTTGAGTCTGCCTTGGAATTTGTTCAGGAGCCACACTCTCTACTGTGGTGATTCAATTCAGATTTTCTTTATGAGAACAATATTTTCTACAGATAAAATCTAAATAAGATTTTAGTAGGCTGCTCATCTATCCCAGTTTTAGGGACATTGTGATCAGTGAGCCAATGTCAAATGTCTTCTCAGTCATATCACTCTTATTATTGTATCAGCTCTGCTGCCCATTATGGTAATAATGCTTATCTCGGTCCCTGTAACCCAGTAATCCCATCAGCCCAGTGAATTCAGAGAGCTTAGCTTTGTGGCAAGACTTCTGAATGCAATCCCTTCACTACTGAAAGTAGTCACCAATAGGCTTATTTCACTGAAGTGTTCTATGGAGACAACTGCTTAGTCAGCCAAAGCCTTGGCTTCTGTATCTCCTTGATCACAGGTATCTGTAAGTCAGAAGCAAATATTTTGCCACTGCGTGCCACAGACAATCACTGTCACCTTTACCACCGGAAATAGGGCCTTTAATTCTTAAATGTAATCAATCCAGAGAACTAACTCTAGATAATGCAGAATCAGCTTGAAAGCACCTATCCTTAAGGTTCTATTTCTCTAGAACTCCTACTTTAACAATTATTGTATCTTACAATAAAACAAATAACCCGATTAAAAATGAGGAAAGTGTCACAGACAGCTCTGCAAAGATGATATACCAATGGCCAATATGAAGAGATGTTTACATTAAAGCCATAATAGGAAGGAAGAGAGGACAGCGGATGTGGAATGGGGCAGAGAAGGAAAGTTATCTTGCCAGGCATTCAGGGGAGGGGTTGGTAATTATGTAATGGGTGCAGAATTTCACTGTTAGTTTTGTAAAATGAAAAGATTTCTAGAATTGGACAGTGTTGGTTACAAATAATTAAGTGTTGAAAAGGTAAATTTTATGTTATGTGTATTGTACCACAATTTAAAATAATAATTTTTCAAAAGGCATTAAAACTTCAAAAACAAAAAAGAAACCCAATTACTGTATCTCTAAGGGTTTGATCAGAGCAGAACCACTATGAGTGAACAGAATAAGGGATCTATTACATGGATTAGATTTTATAAAGTTAGGGGGACTTACCAAGAAATCTGTGCAAGAGGGTGATTCCCTACAGCTGGTGTTGGGCTTTGAGTCACTGTATGTTAGTCAGGCTGTGTCTGGGGAAGAAAAGCTGGACAGGGAGTAGAAAGAGCACAGACAAACTAAAACCTCCACAGATGAACTGAAACTCACAAAGATAAATTCAACTCTGCAACTGAGCTTCCTCACCTGTAGGCTTGACGGCCTAAGGAACCTGCAGAATCTAGCACTCCGCTACAAAGTTGGATAAAAATTTGGTTTAGACAGGCATTGTGCTGCTAAGCTATATTTCCAGGGCTCAGAAGGCCAGGGCAGGAGGATCGCTGGGAGTTTGAGACCAGCCTGGGTTACACCGTAAGTTCAAGGCCAGCCTGAACTGCATAGCAACACCTTGTCTCAAAAAAACAAAAACAAAACAAAAAACTTGATTCGAGACTCAGGGTAAGAGACCTGGTGGAAGTTAGAGGGGGGCAGTTGCAGATGCAGGTGCTTCCCACACCTCCAAGATGACTTTATAGATCAGAAATAATGTGTGTGTGCTGCCAGTTTACTGCCTTTCACCAGCCTTCAAAGTTGCTGTCTCATTTCTGCTTCCAAAGTTTCTCTTGAAATCGCAAACATGCAGGGAAGAGAAATGAAGATACTGCTTTGCTAAGTTGACAGCAAAAAGTCAATAGACACATAAAGCCACAGATTTAAGAACTTTAGCCAAATTAGAACAAGGAAGCCACAACCATGGATGTCATAATAAAATTACTGAAAACCAAGTACAGAGGAAATTTTTAAAGCAAGAAGATAAAAAGACAGCTACCTTCAAGACAGCAAAAAATAGACTGACAGCAAACTTCTCAAGAGAAAAAAATCCAAGAAGATATTAGAATAAAGAATTCAAAGTGCTAAAAGCAAAAACTACTAAATTAGAATTTTATGCCCATCTAAAATATCATTCAAGAATAAACATGAAATTAAGTCACCATCACAAAAATAGAAACAGAGAAACTGTCACTGATAGATTCTTATCAAAGGATATTCTTGAAGGTATATTTAATGCAAAAAAAGATCAGATGAAAGATCAGAGATGCACCATGAAATAAAAAGCAGTAGAAAAGCTAAACGTTTAGGTCAGTGATGGTGACCTAAAGATTTAGAGCTCTCAATGATAATAAACAGCTGGCTGCAGCATTGACACTGCAGGTTCGCCACCATTGGCTTAGTCTATAATCTTTGGTTGGTTTTTTTTTTTTGTTTTTTTTTGTTTTTCTTCGGTACCAGGAACCGAACTCACGACCATGCGCTTGCCAGGCAGGCGCTTTGCCGCTGAGCTAAATCCCCAGCCCCTTATATTCTTAATCTATATAAATATGACTATGCAAAACAGCAATAATAATGGCATAGATGGCTTGAAATGTATGTAGGATTAAGACATGTGATGACAGTGGTTTATAAGTAAGGGGAGGAAAATGAAGTTATTGTATTACCCACGAAAAAGTTAATATAAGAATTAGTATTTAATATTCATAAAACTATTTAATAATAGTTTGATGAGTCAATTATAAATTGTAATTTCCAAAGAGTTCAGAAAAAGATAGCAAGAGTGGGTAGCATAGAAAAGATGGGAATACTTTCCAACTAAAAAGAAGGGAAAATCAGGAATAAAGCAAGGATGTCCACTCTCACCCCTCTTGCATTTAATGCAGCCTCTATCACAGTGTCACTCTTTATAAACCTAGAAAAAAATCCTGAATTCAAAATACAAAAAATCCCAAATAGCCAAAGCACTCCTAAGCAAAAACACCAAGGCTGGAAGAATCACAATAACTAATGTCAAATTATACTACAAAGCCATAGTAATAAAAGTAGCATGGTAAGGGAACAAAAATAAACATATAGATCAATTGGCACAGAACAGAGAACACCAAAGCAAACCTTTGCAACAACAACCACCTCATTCTGGAGAAACATATGTCAAAGAAAAGACAGCCTCTTTAACAAATGGTGCTGGAAAAACTGGGTATCTACTTGTAGAAGATTGAAACTAGATCCCTATCTCTCAATCTGCACAAAAAATCAACTGGATGCAACTGGAGACCATACACAAAAGTGAAATAAATCAGAGTCACACGTGTAAACATCATATTGTCTCCCTAGTGTAAGAAAGTGAAAGAGTAAATAAAATCATTAGTACTCAGACTTCTGCTCAACTTGCTCATTATATCCTGGAGGTAGATGACCACAAGTGGGGATGACTACAAGGAGGGCATAGTAGTTTCCCAGTAAGCATCTCCATTTAGGGAGCAAGGGAGAGGGTTTCCTGAACCGTGCTTGTAGGATATCTGGAACAGCAATCCAAAAAACATATTTAAGGACTATTAAGGACCAGGGCATTGTATAACAGAAATAACAAGGACCAAAGCGCCTAATATAGATTGATGACCAGAGGCTTCCTCACCACCATTATACTATTGTTGCTTAGATTTTGCACAAACTTTGTCCTCTACAGATCTTAGTGCCAAATATTTTTAAATGTGTAAATATACAGGAAATTAAATACAAATGTTAGGGGACAATTTGAAACTAGTCCATAAGTAGAAATCACATATAAACTGATGAGAAAAATTACTGAAGAATCACAAAGGATAAATGACAGAGGAAGAAAGATTTAAAAGGAGAATGTTAAAAAAAAAAAACCAGTTTGAAACTCACTGATTCAAATTAAAATGAAACAAATATAATTCCATAGGAAAATCAAAGGCAGTAAAAATTAGAATATTTAGTGCTGTCATTGGCAGATAAAAATAAAGACACTCATATAACTCTGTTGTAAGTGGAAACTATTATTACCTTTGTGAAAATACTTTGGCAAAAGGCATAACGAATTTTAACAATGTTTATTTTTCTTGACTCAATAATGCTACTTGTGGGACTCTATTCTTAGAACATTAATGACACTATATGATTTATTTATACAGGGAAAAGAGAAAAGAAAGAAAGAAAGAAAGAAAGAAAGAAAGAAAGAAAGAAAGAAAGAAAGAAAGAAAGAAAGAAAGAAAAAGATACGCATATATGTATAAACAAGATAGCTAAGATAATTGTACTACTAATTTCTAATACTTTATTGAAAGGAACAATTGATGCTTAATGTTTGATCAATCTTACATGCCTATATTTGTTTATCTGAGTAACCAATTTGGAGATAACAATATGTAATGCAACAACTATTGTTAATTTCCTATCACCTTGTCTGAAATTCTGTATCTTTTTATTGTTTATATGTTGTTTTATTTATGTCTGTGCGTTTGTTAACATATTTTGGTTCTTTTTTCTTTAAAATAAAAAAGATTTCTCTGTACTATTATTTTTTTCAAAATAAGAATACTGGAAACACTCATAATGCTTCAAATAAAAAAATCTAAGTGTGTTATAGTATCATCATGTCATGAAATATTCTGGACCCACTTTAATATTCATTAGGAGTTTTAATAATTTGTTTAAATATTTATGGCTATTTCAAGTGAAAAATGAAAGCAAAATTATATAAACAGCACAAACATAATAATATAAAAATAAGGATAGAAGTCTGTAAAATACATACCAAGTGATTGTCATTCAAGAATGTGGCTGACCAAGTGTTTTCTAATTTCTGCATTTTTTACATCTAAAATAACAAACCACACTTCTATAAAGGAAAACTATATTCTATTGGAAAAAAAAGCCTCAAATCCAAACATAGCCTCCCCCTAAATAATAGATAAGGTTTGTAACAAAATGAGAAAACACTGAAAGTCTGAGGGGCGGGAGTGGGAGTTTAGCCATGAAAGGGTGCTGAGAAACGACACTTGTTCCTGTGATTGGAGTTCAAGAGGACACAGGACAGAAGGAGAAAGAAGCTGTAGGAGAAGCAGAGAAGATAAGCCTCAGGGACAAAGAGCTGGATGACCAAGTAGTGTGGCATCACCAACCCAGACAGAGACTGAGGAACAGGATGACAGGAAAGCACTGTCTGAGGAGAATGGGGAACCCCAGAAGCCCTTCCCACCGAGCCACAATGGGAAGGGAAGAAGCATCCTTCTCTTCCCCAAAGTCCGGCCCCTCACCCACAGTTGTGGAAAGTTCAATTCTGTCCACCCTCCCAACCTTGCCATCAGATGTATTCAACTTAAGGTAAATCCAGGAGGTCATCAGACCAAAGAGCCCTTACACAATAAAGTATAAAAAGCGAAACTCACCAGTTAAAGCCAAAGTACTCGTTGGAGGTTTCTATCCATGTGAAAAGCATGAACGCAGACATGATAAATGCAATTACCAGTACCGTGCAAAAGAATTGTTCTCTCTGGGAAGAGAAAGAATGTCTAACTTAGAATTAGAATTTGTTTAACTTTGTCCCTTTATCAATATTAAGCCAGTAATTTCTGTATACATTTCCAAAGGTCGGTACACTTGCAGAGCCATAAGTGGAATAATTAGTCTCTCCTTTTACCCCTACTGAATCCTGTAATGCCTATTTTTAACCTTTACAACATGTATTACACTGACCTGTAATTATGTGTTTATGTTTGTAGCTGATGCCATGCTGTTTCTTCAATAAGGAAAAGGAACTTTTCTAACATCTCACTATGGCCGGTACCTAGCATTGCTTTTGTTTTGTTTGCTTTTTCTTTTTTTCTTTTTGCAGTATTGGGGCTTAACCCCAGGGCGCGCTAGGTGAACACTGGCACTGAACCACACATATCCTCAGCCCTTTGTTACAGTGTTATTTTTTAAATTTTATTTTAAAGAGAAAAGAACAAAAACAAAGTAACAAAACCAAAGACAAAGACAAATAAAACCCAAAATCGGGGCTGGGGATTTAGCTCAGCGGCAAAAGCGCCTGCCTGGCAAGCTCAAGGTCGTGAGTTCGGTTCCCGGTACCGGAGAAAAACCACAAAAAAAAAAAAAAAAAAAAAAAAAAAAAAAAAAAAAAAAAAAAAAAAAAAAAAAAACCCAAAATGAACAATAGATATTATGAAAGGGAAAGAAATTGCTCAAAGGAAGGAACAATTGGGATGAGGGAAAGGAGGAAAAGAAAGCAAGAAGGAAGGGAATACATATAAGTGTATATATATATATAGAGAGAGAGAGAGAGAGAGAGAGAGAGAGACAGAGACATAGAGACAGAGAGAGAGAGACAGAGACAGAGAGACAGAGACAGAGAGAGAAGGATAGCTGGAATAACTGTACTGCTGATGTCTAATGGTTTATTGAAAGAAATAGTTAATGCTTAATTTTTTGAGCAATTTTGCATGCTTATATCTGGTAATCTGAACAACTAATTTGAAGACAACAATATGCAATATAACAACCATTGGTGAATTCCTACCATCTTGTCTAGTGAAGCTCTATATCATTTCTAATGGTTTCTTTGGTTGTTTTTATTTTTTTTTCTCTTTAATGGTTTGATCAATCTTGCATTCTTACATCTGGTAATCTGAGCAACTTCACTGATGATAACAATATGTAATATAACAACCACTGTTAATTTCTATCATTTAGTTCTGAAACCCTGCATCATTTTTATTGTTTTTGCCTCATTTTTGTTTTGTCTATGTTGTTGGTGTTTTCCTCTTCTTCTTTTTTCTTATTATTCTCTTTAAAATAAAAAAAAATTAAAAAGACAAAAACAAAACCAAAACACAAAAACAATAAAAGTGATACAGAGTATCAAAACAAGATAATAGGATATTAACAATTGTATTACATATGTGTTACAGTGTTATTTTGAAAAAGGATCTCACTAAATTGCCCAGGGTGGCCTCAAACTTGTAATCCTCCTGCCTCAGCCTCCTGAGTAGCTGGGCTCAGAAGGCATGCACCACCATGTCTGGCTCTACCATAGTTTCTTGGATGTAGTTGGCCCTCGACAATCATCTGTTGAATTCCTCCACCCTTCCCTCTATCAAATGTTTTTTCACAATCCATTTCTTAAGTAACTCATTCATTTCAGCTGGTCACTTGTGTACCCACTTGGGAGAACAAGGAGGAATCAGAGTTTGGGGAAAAACAATTTTGGAGTAGCTATTTAATAACAATAAAATGTTAGAGACTTCACAAGCTACTTTCACTGAATTTATTTCTCATTGGAAGAGCAGAATTAGTATTGGTAAAAACCCAGAAAGATAAAGTATTTGGCAGGAACCAGGATTTGTCTTAGCTCAAAGCCATTACGAAGGCCTTCTTTAATGAGGAAATATTCAAAGAGAGCCTTGATGGCAACTCTCAGCACTGAAAATCATTATCACAAAGCAGCCATGCCACAGGCCACCAAATACTTCCTGAGAAGATTGGGTTTGGGTTGCTATCTGATTCATAATCTTAAAAGATTCTGATCACAGGAATAAGAAATTCTACCTCTTTGGAAACCATCTTAATATATTGAAAACATAAAGAATAAGCCCTGCCCTATCTAAATTCTGAGGTTATTATGAGGCATAAGAATAAAAAAGAAATGCAATGAAAAACATAGAAAGGGCATTCCAAAAAGCTGAAGGGACCTTGTGCATATCCAGGCAGCAAACTATCCTCAGAGGGTGAAGGGCACAGACTCAGGTCTTATGCAAATTTTCTGTGGGAAACTTGGGTGGAATGTTAATAACATACATCAGATAATGTCACTGTCCTGCTCAAAGCCCTCCCCAAGCTTCCTACTGTGTTAAGTGTCACCCAGACTGCCTCCCTGGCCCACACTCCTACACCACCAGCCCTTTCCCAGCTCCCACCACATCCTCTTTTATGCTCTGACTCTGTCTCTGGGCTCCAGCCACCCTGGCCACCTTTCTGTTTCTAAAACCCAACCGAATCCGTTCCCACCTCAGGAGCTTTGTACTTACTAGTTCCTCTGCCTAAAATACTTTTTCCCCTTGATGTACATAAGGCTGGCTCTATCTCTTCATTTAGAAGATAAATCAAAGGACACATTTTCAAAGAGGTCTTCTCTTCCTACCCAAGTTTCTAACACGTTTTCCTATTTTATTATCTTAAAAGCTCTCATTGCTATCTGAAAGCATTTCTCATTTATTATTATCTAAGTCATTCCACAAGTCCAGGGCCCTGTGCTGTCTCAGTTATAATAGTATATATTAAGTATTTGATACATTTTTTTTGTTGAGTAAATCTATTTCCATTTTCTTACTGTCATTGTCACCACTCTGGCTGGAAAATATTCAAAGGCTCACTGTTTATAGGCTAAAGTTCAAATATTTATATTGGCATAAAGATGCTTCATAATTTGACCAGAACATTCCATTCCAAAGGTACTTCTTATTATTTATGCCCTTACCTGTCCCTAAAGTCAACACTGGAAATTCAGTTCTCCCTAGGCATATCTTGTGCTTCTCTGTCGCTGGACTTTAGCCCATCTTACTCCCTTCACCCAGAATCCGCCATACCGTCGCTTCTATAGGTCACTTCCACAAGTCAGTGACTCCAAGAACAGTACAATAATAACATTTGCTGAGTACTACTTGTGTGCCAAACACAATTAGAAGTTTTTTCCACAAATTACCTATTCTATTCTCTTAACAACCCTAGTTGATCCTATAGTTCTTATCTCAGTTATTTTAATGAGGACTCTGAAGGTGTTAGGTAACTTGCCCAAGCTCTCATAGTGGTGGGTATCTAATTTGGAGACCATCAGTAATGAGCAATAGGTTGCATCTGTGTAGTCTTTCCCTAGGCACAGTATCTTAGTGCTTATGCTATATGCTAGACTCCTTCCCTTGACCATAGAGGAGACTTGAAAATTATGTGGGGAACTTAAGAGTTATGTAGTTCAATTCCCTCACTATAGAGAGAGGCTCAGAGATACCACATAACCAGCCCAAGCACAAAGTCATAATTAGGATCCATACATACCCCCAGGCCATGATGCATGGATTTTTCCATTATACCATATTATTTTCTATGGAGCTTCCCTTTACTTTTTTCCCTTTGTCCTTTTTTATAGCACTCATGTGACTTTCTACCTTACCCCTAAGGAATAAAGATCTGTTGAATCTATCTACTGCATTCCATTCTTATCATCCCTCTCCAGTCCAGGCCACCAACATCTCTTCTTTGGAATACTGCCATTGTTTATCTTTGGAGGTAAAGAGGCAGAGCCCCCCCTCCTTTGCATTAGTTTTGTATGTTCTAATACATCCTCCATACAACCAATCATTGCAAAACATACCTCAGACCACATTACTAGGTTAAAATTTTAGGTACTTTCCACCCTCTGGTGCTGGACATCAACCCAGGACCTCATGCATGCTAAGTTCATGCTGTACCACTGGGTTACATCCCCAACCCTCTTTAGGAATTCTTTATTTTCTGTATGGCAGAAGTCAGTTTTTAAAAACCATGTAGCATTTGACTCACCTCCATCTCTAGCTTTGTTTCCTATCACCTTACTATGCATTTCTGCTTCACCTAAAATAAACCTACCACTCTCCAAACTCACCATGCCCTTTGACTCATCCTGCAATACCATTTCTTCTACCATCTACAATTATTTACCTATCATATATTTATCACTTTCATCTTCTAAATAAAGTTTATGTTTGGCCCTTCCTTGATGCGCCCCTATGTTCATGTACGTACAGTTAAAGCAGTTCTCTCATTATGCTGTGTACTCGATCCTCCCAGTAGAATGTGAATTCCATGAGAGCAAGAACCATGCCTGAACCACTTCTGTCATCCCCTGTGACTAGTGTAGAGACCAAATACCTAGATGTAAAAGATACTGGGGAAAGAAAAACATAGCTGTCTACTCCAGGGAAGCCTCCTGTCTTTGTTACTTTTCTCATTGCTGAGACAAAATATGCAATACCCAAAGTTAAAGGAGGAAAGGTTTATTTTGGCTCACAGTTTGTAGAGGTTTCAGTCCATAATTGGCTGGCTCCTAGGCAGGGTGGCATGGCACAGGGGCATTGCCGAGGAGAAACAGTTCGTGGAAGATAAAAAGCAGGTAGGCAGCAAAGCAGCAAAGTAGCAAGGAAGCAGCAAGCAACAACAGCAGCCCTCTTTCTGTCTCTTATATTCTATCCAGGCTACCTAGGAGGCAGCACTTGCACCCCTGGTGGGGCACTCATATTCCTAGGATCACATCATGCATCAACCTCAGTATCACATCCTTAATCCCACTATCACATACTCTAGGTCTAGCCACCTCCAAAATACCCCACCTATAGCCACTTGAGGTTTTAGAGAGACATCTAGATACAAGCCATAACACCTCTCATTTCTGACCCATTTCCTTGTGCTCCCCATGACAGGGATAAGAAATTAGAGATCCAGTTAGTTGATTCTTGGACCCTAGTGGGACCATGTTTACAATCAAATGAAGCTGCAAAAGTTTTGGACTTCCAATGTACTCATCAGATGATACTTCTTACCAGAGAGGTCACCAGAGAGTCCTCATACAGGGCTGACTGAAAGAAAGAGGCCTTCCATGAGGCTAGCATGCATGGCACCATTTGGCCTTATAGAGCATTTCATTAGGAAAAATCAAGCACTAGCTTGACCAATAATAAAGGACTGCCTTGTTTCTCACTTGCTGTTTTTTCTCATGAGCAAATTTGCCCGTGTAACTCACAGAGAAAAGAGATTTTAACTTTTTTTTCTGGTACCAGGAATTGAACTCAGGACCTTGTGCTTGCTAGGTGGTGCTTGTGCCACTGAGCTATATCCCCAGCCCAGAAAAGAGAATTAAAGGCTCATGCATTACTAGCCAGGTGTGGTGGCACACACCTGTAATCCCAGTACTCAGGAGGCTGAGGCAGGAGGATCATTATGAGTTTGAGACCATCCTGGACTACAAAGTGAGCTCAAGGCCAGCCTGAACTGCATAGCGAGACCCTGTCTCAAAAAGACAAAAAAAAAAAAAAAAAAAAAAAAAAAAAATTCATGCCTTGCTATAATTCCTAGCCAAAAATATCTCATGTTTCTTTAAGGTTCACTTAATATGTAAATGTAAAAGTGAGTGAGTGGATGAATGACGTAAAGAGCGTGGAAATGGAAAAGTAAAGAATAAAAGTGAGGGGTTCGGGATGTAGGTCAGTGGCAGAGTGCTTTGCTGGCATGTATAAGGTCCTGAGTTCAATCACCAGCACCATAAAATCACATAATCTTAGTAATAGTAGAAATGAAAGGAAAAGAACGCAGCAAGTACATGTTTCAGTAAGTTTAACTCTGGCTCTAGAACTGGCATAGAATTTTCATGGAAGAACTGGCACCTGAGCAGTCCCAGTCCTGGAAAACTCTAATGAGTCCTTTCTGATGGTGACGGGCTAGCCCATGCTCCCCACTTCTGAGAATGTGATCCAGCTCCTTCCCATCTATCTGTACCCGAGTACAGCAACAGGATCCAAGTTTAGTTTTTTCCCATCGCACGAATTTCCAGTGGCAACTGTAACAGCCAGTAAGGAAGGTGATATAGCATTTGTAATTGAAGATGCGTGTAATCCATGAGTCGTCGTCTTGTTCTCCCTCCTTTCTTCTGGACTCAATTCTGCTGACCCTCCTAGGCATGATTCACCCCTTTGCTGGAAGGACAAATAAAACAATAAGATCTACAAAAGTCCCTGTTAATACATCCTACCCTACCATTGCAGAGAAAATTCTATTGAAGAGAGGGAAACAAGAAAACCCACTTATAAGCAATAATACACTGGGTTTGGGGCAAAAAAAATAAATCAAAGCTCCACCTTACCTTTTTCCACTGACTTTTTGAGTGTTTTTTTTTTCCTTACAGTCATTGTACTATTTCAGGTTTAGATTTCTCATCTCAAAAATGGAAGTATCCTCCTATGCTAGCCAATTTGTAGATGCTAAAAGCATCAAAATCAATAATATGTAAAATTTTCTTTTTCATCTGTAACATGCTCCTGAAATAACCTGAGATGTTTGAGGTACAGGTAAGATCTATGAAACACATAGTCCTCAACTAACAACTGATTCAGACATGTAGGTGTCTCACCCTTTCCTTTCCAATCTTGAAACCAGCACTGCAAAATGGAATATTAAAAGTTAGTTGTTGTTGTTGTTTTCTTCACTTTTAGAGACAAATGGCTTCCTGAGGCCTAGGACACAGAGAGCTTTCCCCACCTCTCCTTAGCCCAGATGAAGCAGCAGGATATGCAGATGCTGACACCAGGAAGCCTGGATCCCAATTTCCTCTCAGAAGAAAGGGGGCAATGAAGAAGCAAGTGGGAGATCTGAATTAACTCTGCATTCCCTCCCCTCTGTCCCTCATTATTAAAAGGCCCTTGCCTAGCTGTAAAGGGCAAGATGGCGATTTGAGGCAAACAGCATCCCCCATCTCCTCAGAGCTTGCTTTGAATAAATCTTTTCCCACTTTACCCAAATATATGGCCTCCTTTAATTTGGTCAGTGGTGAGCAGATGAACTAGAGCATTTGCACCTAAATGGCCTGTGACACTTTTCGTGACCAGGAAGGAACATAAGTCCCTGCACCTGAGAGCTGTGCAACCTGGCAGTCATTTGGGAAGGACTGACTTTTTGTGGCTGGTGAACCCACGGTCAGGACTCCAGGTGAGAGGGGAGATTAGGTTGTGGCAAAGCTGGCAGGGGAAGTAGGCATGACCTGCTCATTACAAAATCCTAGGACAGACACATGTGCAGAACAGTTCCCAAAACCCTGCACGTGGACTTCTCATGTGCAGTTTTGGTTTTTTCCTTTTTGATTTTTAAGTTTATTGAAACAATTTAGATCTACATAGTAATCAGATTCATCATAGAGAATTTGTACCTGTACATGATATATCTTGATTCCTCTTTTTTCTCCATTCCCCTCCTCTCCCTTCAACCTCTTTTCCCCTTCTTATTCCATATATTCCATATATTTCCATATTTCCATTTCTTTTCCCCTTCTTATTCCATATATTCCATATATTAAGTTTTGTTTCCATTTTATCCTTCTTTTCTCATTTTTTCTTTTCCCTTCCTTTCCTCCTCCCCCATACCTAGTTCCCCTTTCCTTTTGAACAATTTCTTCCTATTTCACAATATCTATTGCACAATTTGGTTCTTATTTACACTTGCAGTTTCTCACACCAGAGAGATAATGTGATATTTACACGTTTGTCTGATTTCTTTCACTTACGAGTATGGTTTCAAAGTGCAGCCATTTAGCAATAATTATCTCAAATTTATCCTTCTTTATGGATGAATAGTACTCCATTGTATGAAAAGAAAACACATTTTCTTTATCCATTCATAAGGAATGGTTGATGGTCATTTGGGCTGTTTTCAAGATTTAGCTATTACAAACTGTGCTGTTGAACAGGGTGTGCATATATCACTGTGGTGTGATGTTTTTAACTCTTCTGGGAAAATACCTAGAAGGGGAATTGCTGGGTCAAATGGGACCTCTAATCCTAGTTTTCTGAGGAATCTCCAAACTGATTTCCACAGTGGGTACACCAGTCTGCACTCCCACCAACAGTGGAGAAGTTTCCTTTTTCCCCACAGCCCCTCCAGCATTTGTTACTGGCTGATTTTTTGATGACAGCCATTCTTTCTGGGGTGAGATGGAATCTCAGAGTTGGTTTAATTTGCATCTCTCAAATGACCAGTGATGTTGAGTATATTTTCATATATTTATTTGACATTTGTATTTCTTTATCTGAGACGTGTGTATTCTTCTCAGATGCCCATTTTTGAATTGGGTCTTTAAATTTGGGGGTTCTGCTGCTTTTCAATTCGTTATATGTTCTTCATGTGCAGTTTTGGACAGCATGGCCCAGACCTGACATTAGTCTGAGGAATGGAAAATACAAAAAGGACAGTTGCCATTGAGCCTTCCGCCACTGTGTTCGTTTTTGCATGGTCGTCCACCCTCACACTGCAGGGTGTACTTCTTTTTCTACTTTTACTTGGCCCAGATCCATGCTGCCAAGCCTGTCTCTTTTCCTATTTTTAATAAATATAAAACCTTGCTACCATTTGCACTTGTCTTGACCAAGTATTTGAAACATCTCTGCCCATTAGAAAAATGCAAATTAAAACAACACTCAGATTTCATCTTACAAGAATGATTATCATCAAGAACTCAAATAATAAATGCTGGTGAGGCTGCAGTGAAAAAGGAATCCTTCTACACTGTTGGTGGAAATGTAAACTAGTACAATCACTATGGAACTAAGTATGGGGATTCCTTAAAAAACATAAACTAGAAATGTCATTTTACCCAGCTATTCCACCTCTAGGTATCTTCCAGAAAGAGTTAAAGACATTATATTATAGTGATATGTATATATCCATGTTCATAGTAGCACAATTCATAATAACTAAATCTTGGAAGTAGTAGCCTATATGTCCATCAACAGATGAATGGATAAAGAAAACATGGCATTGATACACAATGCAGCATTACTCAGCTATAAAGAAGGATAAACTTAAATCATTTGAAGGAAAATAGACTCACCTTGAGGCTATAGCTTAAATATCACAGGGTTTCTATTACATGAAAAACTCAAATATATATAAAGAGTAAAATAAAAGACAGTTAATGTGTGGGGAGATTGCCAGAGGAGTTTTTAACTGTATTAATTAAAACACCGCAATTTTTACATCTGCATTTGTAAAATTTATAAGAAAATTTGACATTTAAATAACACTAAGATTCCATCTCATCCTGGAAAGAATAACTATTATCAAGAAATCAACCAATAACAAATGTCGGAGGAATTGTGGGGAAAAAGGAACTCTTCTCCACTGTTGGTGGGAGTGTAGACTGGTGCAACCACTGTAGAAATCAGTGTGGAGATTCCTCAAAAATCTAGGATTGGAGATCAGTCCCATTTGACCCAGCTATTCCCCTTCTGGGTATCTTCCCAGAAGAATTAAAAATATCTTACCACCGCAATATGTGTGCACCCATGATTATGGCAGCACAATTTGTAATAGCTAGATCTTGGAATTAGCCTAAATACCCATCAACCAAGGACTGGATAAAAAAGATGTGGTGTTTTTATACAATGGAGTACTGCTCAGCCATAAAGAAGGATAAACTGGAGATTTTTATAGGTAAATGGATGCAACTTGAGACCATACTCATAAGTAAAATAAACCAGATGCACATGCCTCCCTAGTATGAGAAGCTGAAAGAGTAATAATATCCAAAATGTACAATAGATATTGTAAGATGGAAGAAACTTGAAAAGGAAAGAGAAACTGGGATGGGAGCATGGAGAAAAGAAGGAAAGGAAAAGAATATATATTATATATATGATAGTTAAATAGTCTACTAATTTCACTGAAAAGAAAGTTTTGTGCTAATATTGTTTGGACAATTAAATGCTGATATTTTGTATTCTGAGTAACTAATTTAAAGATAACAGTACACAATGTATTAACCATTGTTACCCTCTTATCATCTTGTTTTGAAATTTTACTTTATTTTTTCTTTAAAATAGTAAATAAATAAATAAAATTTGACAGATTTTTTTAAAGTACATAAGCGCTAGCCTTCACTATCCAGGCGTCTCTCCCCATTCTTGGTAATATCACTTTGTATTTTTGTCAAGTAAATAAACCTCTGGGTGTGAAAAATAATTACCAGCAATACCCTAAAAAAGGCAAGAAAACACAATCCTTGTGAAAGAGAAATATATCAGTCAAGCAACAATAACACAGAATGTCTCAGAAGAGAGAACTCATAGGCAAGGATATGAAAACAGGATTATAACTATATTCCACAGTCTTATGAAAGTAGACAAAATAACTATGTTAAGGAGAAACAGAGAAGAGTTTTCAAGATCTAAACTGAATGTCTAGAAATGAAAATGCATTACCAGGGAAAATATACTTCTGGGATTAAGAGATTAAAACACAGAGAAAAAAAAAGTATAGAAATTGAAAAATGAAGAAACCAACTTGAACAGTAACTATAAGCAGTGTAATATAAAAATGACTGGAGTCCCTAAAAGAGAAGAGAGAATAAAGAAGGAATAAAAACAATTATTTGAAGAATTGACAGCTGAAATATTTTCAAATCAGATAAAAATTATAACCCACAAACCCAAGAAGCACAACCAACTCCAAGGAAAAAGTGCATATAGAAACAACAGGACACGTCATATTCTAGTTTGCTTATAACTACAGGTAAACAGAGAACTCTCAGACACACTCAGAGGAAAAAGATGTTGTACACACAGAGGAACTAAATATGATCCTTCATATCCTTTCAAGAACAATGACATCTTATTGAGAACCCCCCCAAAAAAACCTAGAAGACAATGGAGAAATAACTTTAAGAGCAAATGAAAGTTTAAAAAAAGTTAATCTGGTATTCAACATTCATTTAAAAAGTTTTTTAAAATGCTTTATCAGATATTCAAATCTGGAAAAATTAATCATAAGGTGCCCTACAAGAACTACTTCACAAAGTCATTCAGTAAAAAGGAAAGAGGAGAAATATGCATCTACATGAAAGAATGAGGTACCCTGGAAATAATACATAGAACGAAATAATATCTTCTTTATTTATAAAATCTCTTCAAAAGCTAATTGGTGTACAATC